AGTTGGGTCTGGACGCGCCGTCATTTTTCGACATCTCATCCACGGCCTATGGCTGGCAGCAGCAGCAGCAGCGGCCACCGCCGCCGCTCTGTCACCGCCGCATCTGTCGCCGTCACGTCCGTGGACGACGACGAGCGCAAGGCGAGGGAGCTCAGCGCGGCGCTGAACCGGAACCCCCCGAGGAGAAGACTGGCTGTGTCCAAACAGGAGCCGGGAGCTGTCCTGCTGGGCAATCCTGGCTCCGACGCGTCCGCCCGATGGGGGGATGGGGGCCCCGCGGCTGGCGGAGAACACGGGGGCGGCGGAGATGCGGCGGGATTGCCGGCAAGCCACCAAGCGGGCCGCCGGAACGGAAGCAGCAGGCCTTGGCCAGCTCCGACTGCCGGCCGCGTATCGTCCAGCGGGAAGCAGGGCCCAGGCGTTTCTGCAGACGGGAAGGTCGCACAGCTACAGCACCAGCAGCAGCAGCCCGCGGCTAGCGGTTGCTGCGGCGCCGCGGACGGGGGGAACCGGTCGATGCTAGGAAAGAAGAGCAGCACCGGCAGGAGCGCCACTCCCGCTTCCGCCAAGAAGCAGAAGAAGACGACGGGTGCCAGCGGCGGCTCCTGCTCGCCCGCTTCTTCCGCTGGGGAGACGCCCGCGTCGGCGACAACAACGGGAGGCAAGAAAAGGGGGACAGCAGCGGTGGCGGCCGGGGGGCATCCTTGGGTGGCGAGCGGCCTCTTCTTCGGACTGGGCACGACGGCGGAGGTGCTGTGGGACGACGGGAGGTGGTACCGGTGCTGCGTCTCGACGGTTTCCGGCGACGGGCAGTCTGGGGTGCTGGAGTTCTTTCCGTACAAGCGCGCTACTCGCGTCCGGGAATATTCCACCCAGGTGATTGTGTGTTGCCAACGCACCACACGGATGACAGGAGGCGCTACACCCCGTGACATTTTGCCGTGTTTTCATTCGTGGTGAATAGTTAGTGTGTTTCGGTTGGCGCTCGTATCGCTCCAGCACATGTCGCTAACCCTCTCTCTCGACTATGTCCCGCTTGACGTGCTGTAGCACGCTTATTGCATGATCGATTCAATGAGCTGCGAAAAAGTATATATATTGCGCTATTTTCACTTCACAAGCACGTGTGGTTTCTGTACTTGCGGTTCTCCTTCTCGCATATCCAGGTTGGCTATTTTACCACCCTTGTTCAATTTTTCTATGTATTGTTTTTGTTCTGACGCTGATGGGGGCCGCATTCAATGATGGTGATAACCCCTTTTTCACAGCGATTTGTGTTGCTGGGAATTTCTGCTCGTGAGCTTGGATGTACCTTCGACGAAGGATGAATGCTCGTGGACTTTTTAATTTAATATTCACACAACGAGGGCTAGAAATGTTGGCGGGAGGAGGAGGAAACCGCGTATGTAGAATGAAGCATGCTGTGTTATTTATCGTGGTTTGGTATTGACGTCATGATGACCCTGCGGCCGCCCCTGTCGCCCCCCCCCCCCCCCCTCGGTGTTTGCCATCGGGATTGGGTTTTCGTCGCTTGGCAACGACGTTGTAAAAGAAGCCAATTCACTTCGTGAACTCGGCAACCAGGTTACCTTTTTCTTTTTTTTTACCTCTTTTTTTTTGGCGGTAACCATAATGGTGGTCGAGTAGATCATGTTGTGCGGGGTGGAGAAACCTCACTCCGCGCAAGGGGGATGATCGCACCACGTTGTGTTAAAATGGTCAAGCATCCTCGAGGCAGCTACACAGTGCTTATAACTGTCTCTGGAAGTGAAAGCACCAGAAAATAAATTAAGTCATACGCATCTGTCATCCGTACGCAAGGAAGTAAGCACAAGATGCCGAACACCCTTAGCAGGATGCAGCTCACCCTTCATGCGACTCGCCGAATACCTCACGGTGCTTCGCGCTTGGTGATGTGAGAGCCTGGTCCGGTGAGAACCCGGCGTGCTCCGTCCCGGCTTTGTAGGGATGCGAGGTCAATGGTCTAACGACTACGGCATGCACGACTATGAGTACACCCCCCCCCCTGTTGCTATCATGGTCACACAGCTGGACTTTGAGGAGTGGATCAGAGACGGCCGCATCGCCCTGCCAGAGACCAACTTGAAGTGGGACTGAAGATGACGCATTGTTTGGTCGTAAGCAGCGAGGGGGGGGCTGGGAGCTGGAAACATGCCTGGAGAACAAACAACAAGGGAGTTAGTCTGGCAAGCGCTGCAACCAGAGTGACAAGTAGAGAGCAGGAGCGAGGCTGGAAATTTCCGGGGAAGAGGTTAGAAAAGTCTGTCGCCCAGGCAGGCCAGGAGACCGTTTAGCAAGCCATGTAGGCGGGAAGAACCGTTGGGGCTGTCGGTGTACAGAGGCCAGGAGGAAGGGACTGAGAAAACAGAATGGGGGGGGTACGACAGTGGTTCTGCCCTCGTCCTTGCTTTGGTGGATTCAGCCTTCCGAGACGATGAGCTTTTCATGCTCTACACACCGTACTTCTTCTTCTTCTTCGATGGTGGGATGTGCGTACACACACAATGTTGACAACATGCTGCCATCCGCTAGCAGCATGCTTGTGGGGAGCGGAGATGGGACGAAGGGTCCGTTGGTGCTGTTTTCCCTTGCAGATGACGGAAAGCCTCGATTTCTCAACATCTATGCGGCATTATGTGTCATGAGGGCGAGATCGTGAGCAGGTTAGAGGTCGAAATTTCAATCAAATCGGTGGTGTAGATTTCGTTCGAGGGGAGGAGCTCGAAGTTGTTCTTTACATCATTTTCACTTGGTTATATACCTGGGCGTGCGAGAATGTTTCGTCGCGCACCCTTTTTTTGGGGGTAGTTGGCCTGTGGCGAGGGAAGGCGATGTGCCGGGATACAAACATGCGCGTCGTCAGTCCGATGTTACCCCATTCGGGGTAAGGTGACGGGACGTCACGTTGGTTGTGGCACGAGAATGCAATAGCCTCGTGTTGGAAGGTCTTAGGTCTTTTAGTGATGTGTTTGTTGTTGATGTCTTTGTCGATGTCGGCTGGTCAGTGTTTGTGCTGTGATAATAGACGTACGTTTACGTGTGACGTGGCTCTTGCTTCTGTTTGGACTGCTGTATTCAGATCTCATTTGGATTCATTTCTACAGAGCGTTTTTCTTTTATGTGTGTCAGCTGCTCGCCGTGGTTTGTATATGCGACGTTTTTCGCGAACTTCTTGACTTTTGTGTGGTGGATGTTTGGTGTCCTGTGAGTGACCATTGATTGGGGATGCCAATGATTCTGTTCATGTAGGTTGGCGCCCGGGCAGAACCTCCACTGTCTCAGGTCGATGGAAGGTTGACACAGGGAGCGAGTATTGACGTCGAAGAGGACCTGGGTAGTAATTGCAATCAGGCCAGTGCTTCCCGATCTCTTGCAGCGTGGTTGGCGCCGCAGACTGCCATGTGTTTGGGTCTTGGATCAGTGTTACAAGAAATGGCGGTGTACGTTCATCGCCTGAGCGCCAACATATCTGTAGACTGTTGGGCGACGAAGAAGAGAAGTGAGCTGTGCACATGGCTTCTTGTTCAAGCGGAGTTTTCAAACATGACTCGTATGTGGTCACTTGTTTTGACTTCACTCAGCCGCCAAAATCGGCAGGTGGGAACATGTGTAACAGTTTCCTCGTGATTGTACTTTGGCCCTGCCGCTCGCACGCCCATTTCCCTTCAGAAAGCCGGGCAAGTTCCCGAGAGGGTTTTCCTCCGAAAGATGTAGGAGAATGTCAGTTTCTCGACAGGTCCCGCCCACTGTGTACCAAATGAAAACTTTGGTCGGTCTTTGTTTGAAGGCGAAACCCATATTTTTCGTTTGACCGAGATCCTGTGTCACCGGCAGCCATCCCATCGCTCATCTTAGGAAAGCAAAAGTGGCACGACCTCCACGATTTTTTTTATTTTTTTCCGGAGGTTAAGGTTCATTGATGCGACCTGCTGCGTTACGTTTGTTTTGTGTCTATGATCTCAGTACCGACAAGTTCTCGTATGAAATACGCCTAGCTAGGGACTTCACGGTCTGTGTGAGAACGTAACTACCACATGTCGCAAGGAATTTCAAGGGCTGGCTCGTTGGACAAGAGTTAGGCGCCTTCACGGAAGGCAGCTACTGTACTGTAGTACAACCTCTTCTGCTGGTATCGAACCATTCATTCGCGTCTCGCAACTTCTTCACCTGCGAGTATTTGCGTAACGCCGCCGATGTGCGTGATGGCGCCAGCGACTTTTGAGGCCATGATTCGATGATTCGTGCCTTCACCTTCTTCGCCAAGGTCTCCGGTAGGAAACCAAACAATCACATAGGCATATCTCGCATGAGTACTATAAGTGAAGCGGTGTGTGTTTGTTAAGTTCGATAGACCTTTCGACTAACCACTTCCGGCGTCTCGTATGAATAGATATGCTGTAAACCATGGTCCTCATGGGGACTTCGGACAACCCTGTTTCACTCTTCATTTCAAAAAAATTGAGGATTAATGGAGTTCTTTGTGTAGGGCAAGAATTCATTCCATGATAGGAGACACAATCGACCAGGGATATTAATATTGATGTTTTCCGAACGAATCTCTGGCGACGAGTGCTGAATGCGAGCAACAAGAATATGCTGGTATGCCCTAATATTTATGCTGGTACCAAGGTGCATGCGTCTGAGCGTAGAAGGCATGGACGGGAAAACTCAACCAGAGAAAAAAATTGTAGTGAGTTACTTCTTCTGTGGCTGACAAACTTGGGCTTTCATTGCTTGCCCTTGCACATAGCCATAGCGGTTTCACAATTGGGTTTGGGGTAGCATAGACTACAGTATAAGTTGCACACGTTGTACGTGTGCTCTTTTGTACGGACGTTTTCTATCTGACACCCTTTGGTGGATACAACTCTTCTCGTGACAGTAGGGCTCGCCTCTTTCAAGAAGTCATGTTAAAGAACAAAGAATCGCCTATTTTCAGGAATGCAACCACAAATTCTCGGCGCGTACTCGCTTCCGCTTTGTCACCAGAAGATTGATTAAGGGATTCACTCCAGTAGCTCCGCCGTTGGGCTTCCATGCATCAAGCAATACAATCAAATACACCCACAGGTGTGAACGGCACTCCTGAATCAAGTGCATCTTCCCAACCTGGCAATGGCGTGTGTTACGGGATCGAGAGCCACCGTAAAACGCATCGCGTTCCTCTTGTCAAATCCAGCAATGTGGCCCTTGCTGCCTTTCGCGCCGTGAAAGTGTAATAGGGTGTGATGTGCGGGCACAGTGCACCACAAGAGACACGAGACCATCCGTGATGAAGCGTTTTGTGACTCCTGTATTTCTTCATGTCTCCCTCAGAACAGCACATGAGCGACGAACACCTGACCTACCCGCGCACACGCAACACATCGCACGGTACACCGTACACAAAGTCCAGAGACAATGCCGTGACATGGCGGCTTCGCACGTGAGTCATTAAATTATCACTATTACAGATGAAGCAAACAATAAAAGAAAAAATGTAGAAATATGTACCAGGAACTACATCCTCCCCAATGCATAACTATGTAGTCTCCTCATCACTCATCATCATGTTGACCAACGGTCGACCTTTCCTTGGCGATGAGATAGATGAAAGAAACCGAGCAATAAAGTAAGTTGGTCACGAGCACGAGAATCGACAGAACAGCAGACTATACATAGCAGCAGCAGCTCTACTGCCCAAATCGCACGCCATTTCATTCAAGACACACAGTGATGCCGCACATCACTAGTATAACGTTCCTTGAAATGCATCATTTCGATCTCGACCGAGGAACAGCCAACACCCTGCATGCCAAGCTAGCGAGCCACAGTCATTCGTGAAAGAAAAATACGGAAAACAAGAAGCCGAAAATCACCAGACTTCAAGTGTAAACGCAAAAAAAGAGGAATGAAAATACAGTTACACCTGAAACTTGTTCATCAGCGGGCGAAACCGCACGAAGAGTCTTCACTGCTCTCAGCAACCTCGTGCAGGATTATGGAAGGGAGCGGCTCCCACCGCCGACCGTCATCATCACCACATGATTCACGAGTAAAACTGGGCACATCGTTCTCACACCAAGCCACCTCAAGGGTATCATATGACCTCGTGCCAAGAAACGGCTGCCTGAAACTCTACACTAGTGAATGGAAATCCGCGCCGTTTCCACGCAACCTGTTTTTCCCTCACATGCCCACCGTTTCCAAAAACATGCCATATTCGCGACATTTACTATCCGGATTGATGATGGAGGTATTCCGCCAAAAAAAAGGCGAACGAAAGAGTGAAATGAAATGTGCCATAAAGGTTCACTGTAAGAACCTTCCTACGAGCTAGGACTCCGAGTGTTGTCAAACATCAATCATCCCACGTGTGTGCTGTTCTGTAACGTCCAAAGCGGTGTAAGCCCTGAACCCGTCTGCGCCCAACCGGCACTTCCAAGAAGCGTCCATCTTGTCTACTGCCGACACTCCCAAGAAATCCTCCCGATGTACAAATGTCGCCGTGTCACGCAAAAAAAGGAAACACACACACACACACACACACAGACAGACAGACGCATGCTTTGGCTCGAACAAATCGTGCGTCCTGCTAAAAAATACCTCAAGAATTAGAATGGTCGCAATCTCAGTTGGACGTCTGTCGTTCAAAATCACATGACGACCATCGCTGCAGCCGACCAAAACAATCGTACTCATGCCCAACGGCAGGGTTCCACCATCACCACCAACCACTGTATTATCTACAGCTGGACTGACTATATCTCTCCCTCTTCCCCCATGTCATGTCTGTGGTACCAAGATCCGTGCAGATGCACAACCCGTGTCAATATATGGACCAAATGGTGTTTCGCCATATCGTATTCGCGCTAGCAACAACTCGGGCGACGGAGTGTAGGGTGCCAATAAACGCCGTGCAAGGTTCCGCGACACAATCATACCTCTCTTGAAAGCCGCCTCAGGGTACTTGTATGACAAATCCTCAAGTTCTTCGTGTCAGACCTCTAGGCTGCTTCTTCTAGTGGTGATGCTTGTTGTACTTAGGGCCGCAAATGCCGCTGATGATGATGCCTTTCGTGTTTGTTGTCGTCACTACACCTGCTCTTGGGAACGGCCTAGCCAAAGCCGTTTGGTGCAGAGCTGAAATTGCTTAGCGACTGGCTGAGATGGCCAGAGGTATTCCTCAGGTCGCCGCCCGGCATGCCGCCACCGCAACCCCACGCATCCCCCAACCCTCTATTTGTGGACCCAATCTCCGCCTCCGCGTCCAACGGCGTCCTCGACAAGAGCATGTCCCCCTGCACAGGCCACGCTCCGCCAAGTTGGCCGCCGGTCAAGTCGTTCCCATCTGCCGAAAGGTCCATGGCAGTCGATGCGACAGACGCCGCTGCCGATAACCTTCGCTTGGGGCCGCTCACACCGCCTGGATTCTTTTGGTGCGGCGGAGCTACAGACGCTGTCTCGTCAACCCCTCCGGATTGCTGGCCTAGTCCCGCGAGGCCAGCGGAGGGAGTCGCCGAAGCCCAGCTGCCACCGTGCAACATCCCGCCAATCCCGCCACCGCCGCCGGTGGCAGCAGCAGCGGCAGGGGCGGCCCCTGCAGCGAGGTCGCCAAACACGTCGCAGTTGCCGCCGCTGACTCCGTAGTTGGCCCACGGGAGATCGCTCAGCAGCGTCGGGTTGAACATCCCGAGCGTCTGCATCGTCAAGAGGTTACCGCTACCGCTACCGCTACCGCTGCTGCTGCTCGCGCCGCCGCCGCCGCCGCCGCCGCCGCCGCCGCCGGCCGCTGCCGCTGCCGTTGCAGCCGGAGCGGGAGGAGGACGGAACAATTCTTCGGGTGTCAAGAGCAAGTCGCTGAAATCCACGTCCAACGGCAGCGGCGGCTGCCCTTGCTGCTGCGTCGACGCACCCACGCCCCCCCCCCCGTCCGCTCCCGAGAGTCCACCCATTCCCGGCGAACCACCGGCAGCAGTCAGCACGCCTTCAGCCGGCGCCCTCCGCGTGTCCGCGGTCGACGGCAATGCCCCCGTGCCGATACCCGGCGGGGTCCTTCTTTCCGCGCAACGGGAAAATAGGAGGTCCCAGGCCGCGCCCTCCGCTGGAAATGCGCGCTGGGCGGAGGGCGCGGCGCCGCAGACCGCGCTGTCGGACACGGACCTTGCCCCCCTGTCCGCCGACGTGTCTTGGTCGAGGCGGTGCCGGTGGTGATGATTCTCGCTTCCTGCCCACCTTCCTCCCGGTCCGTCTCCCGGTCGTGGTCGGCCACCATCGACCGGGGTCTCCTCGCGAAGGGCTCCCAGGTCAAGGCCGGTCCTTTCGGTAGCCGGCCTCCAGGACCCGTCCGAACCGATGCCAACCACGGAGTGCGACACAGACCGCGGGCGTTCGGGTGCGCTCATCAGCCCCCCCGCCGCTGTGTCTGCGGCGGCCGCACTGCTCCCACCCACACTCGGGTCTAACCCCTGAACGTTGACGTCCGGGAGGGCGCTGTCGTTCAGCGCTGGGGGGCCGGGGGAGCCTGCGAGCACGTCTGCCCAGTCCAGGAAAGCCTCATCTGTAGACACCTCCTCGCCAAAGCCTTCAACGCCGCCCGTCGCTTCCGCCTTGTCGCCTTCCTTTACCTCCTCTTCCCCCGGCTGCTTCGGCTGTCGCTGTACCTGCAGCAGCTGCCGCTGCTGTTGCTGTTGCTGCTGCAGCAACAGCCATTGCTGCGGTCGTTCAAGCAGCCACGGCTGCAACGGTGCTCTTGGCGTCGCCGACGACAGCAACGGCGGCGGTTGCTTTTCCGAGTCCTCTTCCTCCTCGTCGCCCTCCAGCCGGGGCTTCCCGACGCAGGTCTTATCATCCCCTCTCCTTCTCCCCCGCGGTTGCTCTCGCTTCACGCTGGCGCGGTCATCTGCCAACCACGCAGTGATGCCAGCATCACCTACCGCACCAGCACCTGCCAAGCCAGCGGTCGCCCCACCTTTGCCAAGATCCCCTCCTTCAACCCCCAGCTCCTGCTTCACGGGAGACATCACGCATTCGCCCTTCCCCGCGCCAGCAACGCTCCGCCCGCCGCCTTCCCCCCCTCTTCTAGCCCCGGCAGTGCTAGACAGCCCGCTTGCCGAGGACCTCGACGACGGCGGCATGATCGTCGGATCCGGTGTGCACGGGGCCCCGAAATCGACACTGCGTCGCCCCCTCCATGGGTTTGTCGCGGACGAACTCTCCCGCCCTTTCGCATCGACAGCAGCAGCAGCAGCTGTGGCAGCGGCGGCATCAGCCGCGGAAAGGGTGGCGGACCCCGGAAGTGCGGCACCGCTTGCCTCGCGCTCCCGCTGCTGCTGCCGCGCCCCCCCGCTACTGACGGGCGCCTTGCCTTCGCTCTGCGGAGGGTCGGTACCTCCCGGCTCCGCTTGTTCCTGAAAGAACAGGGGTTGGTGGGAAGGTAAGGCAGGGTTCGATGTATGTTGGCCGTCGAGTATATCGATGCTCGGCCCAGACGCACAAGACATAGCGTGTCCACTCACGGAATAGGCTTGCCAAAGTGGGAATGTGTGTGTGTGCTCGTAAACAGCAGCAGGCAGCAGGAGAACACGCGCGATAGTTGCAATAGACAGGGAGGGCAGTAGCTATCATCAGAATCGAGATTTAACACACACACTTTGTCCCGCCATATAAGACTGACGTCGTTTCAATGGCCAGCCGGTTGGCGCGGGTGATGCGCAACAAAAAAAACACACACACACATTAATCCGCAGAGAAGAAAAGCCTCTCCCACGACGCCCCCTCACGGGGTCCCAGATCATGGCCTAAAAAAGCATTTTCTGTTTTTCAGTCGCTCTGAACTGGCGTCTATTCAATGGTGAGCCGGCTCGCGCGGTCGGCGCTAACAATACAAAACACACGTACATACACAGAGCAATTTCTGCTTTCAACCGCGTACTGCGACTAACGTCTACTGGCATTCAGTGGTCAGCCGGCTACATGTAGCGCGGTCAATGCTAACAAAATTTAAAACACACACACACACACACACACACACACTACAAACAAAAAAAACTGCAAGACTGACGTCTGTATATTTCTCAGCCGGCTACATGCAGCGAGGTCGATGCCAACAACAAACACACAACAAAACCCGACCTGCAAGACACCGAGAATATGTGTGACAGTCCCGCGGCCATCTCCCACGAGCGGGTACACACGGAGGTAGTTCAGGAACTCGCTGCCGTCGCTCTTGTAGTTGGGCAGCACGGCAGAAGCGGCCCGGCCGCGCTCGATCTCGCGATTAAGCGCCGCCAGACCTCCAGCGTCGGTGCGAGGGCCCTGAATAGCTTTCAGGGTCTGCCCCCGGATGTCCTCCTATGATTGGTTGCCCACACCGGCACAAGTTACATCGAGATCGAAACGGCCATGACGACGAATGAAAATTAGAGCCGCCCGTGCGCCAGGCCTACCTCGTGTGGCTGGCGGACAAGACAAGACGGAATTGTATCATACCTACGGCACAAGAGTACTAGGAAAGCGGGCTTCAATTTACAACTTGATCGTGGATGGTGCCGCCTATGGGGGTCATACGATGAGCAGGAGGTCTTGAAACAATGTCGCGGGAGTGCTCAGGTATTGACCTCGGCACTTGAATTTACATGATGGGCAAAGAAGTCATCTACAGGACCCCCCCCCGCCTGCCGTATCTACACGGAGAGAGCTCGTGGCGTGTCCCGCCGCGAAGTCCACAGGGCCCTAGGCCATGCCGCACCTGACTGTACCCGCATAGCTTGGTCCATGCCTGGTTGCAGCACACCACCGTGTGCGGAGGCGTCGCGGTCATTATCACGCGTGCCTCGTTCGATGGCTGGCAGGCCCCCCTGGTGGTGTTCGGCACGACCGGCATCTCCTTCTCCTCGCCGACAACCCTGGAAAATTGGCGCACGTGACGGTCGTTGGAAAAGGAGCATTTGTTACCGTAGCAAACAAATGCGCCTTCAGAGTAGGCTCATGAGAGCATAGTACGATAATAGTGCCATCAAGGCGTGGTGGTGCAAGATGAAAGTACAAGTGTGTTGGTGTGAACCACCTGCTGATTGCCATCATCAGTGGCGTTTCCCACGCTTGATTAGCTTACAAACAGACCTCTTTTTGACTCCAACAGCCCAGCGAACCTCCACGAACAAACAAACAAAAATATATAAATCTGTGTACAAACTTTCTAGCAAATATTCGCAGAGTCTTTGCTGGTTGACACTGCTTTTGCACGGGTCCATCGACGGCCTCGTTCTTAGCTGCTACAACCTTTAGTTCCGACGTGCGTCCGGTGGGTGTCTTACTACTCTCTCACTTGATCACGACACCAGACACGCTTGTCAAGCGACAAAAATGCCAGACATCGGCAATTTTTTATGCCTGTTCGTCAAGAGACCGATTACGGTGCGCGGAAAAAGAAAAAAAAGAAAAGAAGAAAAAGGACAAAGTAGGCAAACGTGCAAGGCAGCAGGCTCACTTTTGGAGCTGCTGCATGAGGCTGGTGACATCGAAGACGTGTTCTATGGCCACCAGCATGGCAGACCCAGCTATGAACTTCGCCGAGAGCATGCCGCGGCAGCGCCACTCGCGCCTGGCACCGTGCTTGACTGCGTTGGTTGTCCTCAGCACGAATGAGCACATCGCCTAGGAGGAAACAAGAAAAAGACGGAAAGGACAAAAGTGACGAGTGGGGCGGGCACGTACGTGGGCTAATCGAGTACTTTTCTTCTACGCCGCCGGCAGTCTTGTGGAAGAAAGGCTCAACGAACGGGACATCAATAACATGACACATAGAGGTGTGCGCAAAACACCCAAACTTGTTCGCGGGGCACGAAAAATCAAAAACAAAAAAACTGCGACATCTACCGCCCGTGTTACCGCGGTCGATCCGTCAAAACATGCGGGATGTATCTTGTGGCGAAGGCTGGCTGGCGCCGCAGAATATGGGCCGAAAACACACATGCCATGGGATGTAGAATACTACACAACTCTTTGACGGGAGCCGATCATCTAATTATTCCTTCCGCCGCCACTCCTGTCGAGGGGGTCCGCGGACTAGAAAAGGTGCTGCGCGTTTGTTTGTTTTTTCGTCGGTTAAACGACGTGGTTTTGTCATTGGTCAGCCGGGTAGAGTACCGCGATACATATGCAATTCAAACCACACATGCGAAGGCACACGGGGAGAGTATGGATTGCCAACAACAATTACACACGACAAATAGCATAACGCACAGCCGCGGGTAGTAGCCCATGGCTTATTGAGTAAACACGCCCACATGCCAAACCCAACAGGGTGCGCCAGAGACTGCGTGATGGTAATATCATAACTTGTACGCATAGGAGTAAGTAATACTGTCCACTCTTGGCCGCTGCCACTGACGATTGGCCGCTGCCACTGACGAGTGGTCCTAATCACACGTGTGCAGCAGTACAAAACTACGCGCCACGACCCAAGAACTTTAGCAGTAAGAACTTGACCCTAAAAAAACGTCCGAAATCCAAGCACTTGGCGATAAGAACAGGTGCTCCGTCAACAAGCCTACACAAAAACCTGTATAGTCGCCGTGGGGGTACAGCACCCCGTAGACAACCAGCCTAGGCCAAAACAGGAGGTTGTCAGGTGGTGGCGCGTTTTGCACACGGTATCGGTCGAGAACCCTTGACTTACCGTGTTGTGGGAGGTGAGCATGTCGTTATCGGCCATCTCGCAAACGAGCTCTACACCATGCCCGTGCCCCTTCTCCATCTCTTGTCGCCAGGGGAGGGTGCCGCACCCCAACGACTCCACAAGGACGGCCAAACTTTGTTCAGTTCAGTTCAGTTCAGTTCAGTTCAGTTCAGCGGAGACAAAAAATAATGAGAGAGCGGGGGGGCGGGGAAGTGAGGAAGAGAAGTGAGCGGAGCGTTGAATTTCAAGGCTTGAGAGGGAGCGTGACAATGCCAAGTACACCCACCCATGTCTGATATTGGGTACAGCCATGGGTCGGTACGTTTCACTTGTTTTCCATCAGCAGCTCTTTTCTTTGTCTTACGGGTCGAAATAAACAAAAATACTCACATGCAGAAAACATTCCTGGGACATCGCCACATCAAATGTGGATAACGAAGCCGAGGATACTCCATATATCGTTGTTGTTGTCTTCCTCTCGCGAAACGCCTCAGCACTCCAGCATTCATACCGGCCCAACTGACGCCATGCCTCCTACCAAAGATTGAGGTTCCCTATGCACACATATTATGAGAAATTAAAAAGAGTAAACAAGGACCCAGAAATATCAACACACAAATGGAAGACAATGAGACCCAATATATATATATACCTTCCGTTGTCCGTCATGACATCATCGATGCCTCGAAGTACCCGGCTGTCGTTGAAAACGCACCGGCCGTTGAACCATCGATACGGGGTGATCGGCAGGGTCATCGTGACCCTCTGTGTGCGAACACATTCATTCGCAAGCGCAACGACAAGACATGCCAAGCGAACACGTTCACGTCAAGGACGGAGGGAAGGGTTGGGGTCGGGTCAAGATCAGGGTGCAACATGTACGCGCGTATCGTGCGTCCCTTCGCAGCTGAGAATCACCGCAAGAGACGTTGATCAACAGTTAGGACAACCATGTCGCTGGCTCCAGCGGACCCTGCAACTACGTTCCATGACCAAACCACCGAGAAACGTAAAGGGTACAGGAGTCATCGATAGACATGTGGCCCAGGGAACTTAGCCTAGTGATCCTTTCTTCTCACGGGTGATGGTTTCATAGACAGATACAAGACTCTGTGGCCGATGAGCACTGACGGGGAAAAATAGCGGCAGCAACAACAGCAGGAGCAGCAGCATCAACCCCCTCCAAACACACACTCAAGCAGTAGCAATCACCGCACCAACAGAGGCCATCGCGGCAGCAAAAACAAAAAAACATGGAAACAACACCATCACCACCGCCGTCATTAAGGTCACCCACACCACTGCCAACCGCAACTACGCCACAAATTATCACCACAGGTGTAAACAACGGCATTAGCACTAGCAGCAGCATTAGTAGTAGCAGCAGTAGCAGCATTAGTAGTAGCAGCAGCAGCAGCATTAGTAGTAGCAGCAGCAGCAGCAGCAGCCACACCGGCGGTGACGATGACGCAAATCTGCTTACCTCATCAACGATCTCGGCCCATTTCTCGCGGTTCTTGACGTTCTTGCAGCGGAACTTCATGAAGGTCCGGAGATTCTGCCTCTTGAGAACCTCCTGTCGGGAAAAGGAACGAAAGAGAACAATGCAGGGGAAGGGACGATGGTGGGACAAGACGAGCCAGTACAGCAGCAAGAGGCCGACAGGAAGTTATAGAGGTCGTTTTCATGCAGCAAAGTGGCGACAAGCAACAGGCACCGAACGCATCAAATCCTGCATCCAATACAAGAAACATGAGACAAACTCGGGTCATTACCCTACGGTTGTATGCATCCTATGCATATGCATGCATCCTATGCATATGCATGCATCCTATGCATATGCATGCATCCTCCCTCTTCCTTGAAGGAGAGGCCTGCACCTCCAGCCTCAAACAGGATACCTACCGCCGCTGCTGCATGCTACTACAGCACATTGGAAGTACTTGCCATCCTGGTGCTGAGCTCCCTCGCCTTCCTGGCTTCCAGCTTGCCGCGGGCGTGGAGCTGCTTCAACTTTTCCACCTGCTCCTGTAGCTGGTGCACCTCCAGTTTTTTTCGTGCCCGTGCCTTGCGAGCGTTCTCGCAGTTTCGCTGCCGTCTAAGAGGAACAATGAGACGATTTCATGAAGGGAGAGAGAGAGCGCGCGGGTGGGGGGGGGGCGTACTCTTATGTTTTGCGTGCCTTAGCGGTTAGACCGATGACAACGCGTCCTCGAGAGGACAGAGCATTGTTCCCACACGGCCGATCACCGATAGCCAATCGTTTCCTTCTTACTTTGCCAAAGGTGGCCCGGGGGGGCGGGGGTCTGCGGTGCCCGCAGCGTGTGTTAAGTCTCACAAAACCTGGGCCGCCGGGCTAATTGGCTATTGGTTATCGTATAAGAGCAGGGCATTGGTTCTATAAGGGACGAATAGTTTCGACCCAAACAGAAATAAGCTATTAATATTAATAGTGAACACTCACCGACATTAGACCCCCCACCTCCACCTCTTCCATCGGTTTAGTCTTAACAAATCCAGTGCGGCGCTTCCAATAATTAGTTCCGTGATCCCTCTCGTTACGACAAACTCTCAAGCAAGAGGAGACAGACAGACCGAAATACGCTGCGGGTGCATGGCACGTATCTCAGCAAAACAAAAGAGTGACAAGCACAGCATACGTCAACTCTGCCTCTACGGCATCCTACAGCACGCATGCACGCTGCATTCCCGCTTGTTCCACCACGTGGCAGGACCTCTGCCTTGCTTCAACAGCGATATATGGACAAAATAGAACAAAACACACCAACCAAACTCTCGCGCTTGGAGCAGAATTTCCACCAGTCATGTTCTTACATCAACTCGGCCTTGCCATCCCCGCCCCCGCCGCCCGTCACAGCCTCCTTGCCCTGCTTGGCCCTGCCGATGCTCGCTGCTGTCGCTGCTGCTGTCGCCTTTGCTGCTGCTGCTGCTGCTGCTGCTGCTGCTGCTGCTGGCGTATCGGCGGCGTGGCTGGTGGCGCCGTACTCGCCATACGCATAGTCCTCAGCGAAATCGTCCCGACCGAAATCCTGCATCATGAAACAACGTCGTTGTAGTTGATGCTGCTGCTGGTACTGCTACTTGCAAGGGTACGGTGAAATGTTGGGTGTGGGGTGTTGCTTGTGCTTTTGTTTTGGTATTTTTTTTTCAGGTTTGGGGACGCAATATAAAAAAGATACGAAGTACAATACATCCTCGACCATCGATCGCCCCGCCGGCGAGAGTTTTGCTATAGGTTACTCGAGATTCGTTCGTTGTATGTTTTTTCGCACAATGCAATTACAAAAAACAAGAAAACGAATCAAATGTTGCTTTTCTCTTGTAAAAACGCTGTGGATTCATTGCTAAAAAAAAAATAAACAAGAACGAAGAGAACTGCACAGCCGTCTGCTCCAGTCTCCAGCAGTCTCCAGCCGACCACTGGCCGCATGTTCAGCGGAGGCACAACAACATTTTTCGTCATCTAGAGTCATCGAATGAATGACGATGGGTTCGGTGTGATTCTTGAAGAAGGAAAGAAAGAAAGAATAACCGACTCAATGGATTCATTGCTAATCTGTCATACTGAAGACTCATTTTTTCGATAGAGATGGATTCGTTGGGTCATACTGATGAAACAAAAAAACTGCTGTCGTCCTCGCGAACGTCGTGGATTTATCGTTATATTATCCCACGGACGCTGATCTGTGGACACGAGACTAATTCGTTGGGTTTTCAATGTATTCTCCCTTCTTTTTAATGCATTCTTCCTCCGTATGCATACACGTCAGAAAACACAAACAGCCAGCAGGCTGCTGACCCCCCATTGCCGCCGACCCTTTTGTGCCGTGTTTTTGCCGGGTGGCAGCGGGGGCGCAACAACATTTTTCTGAATCTTCAATGCAAGAACCCTTCGAAATCATTGAGTTTGTTGAGTTTGGTCTGATCGTGGTACATACGATTGCGGCGGTGCTGCTGTAGACCGCTAATTTGAATTAGCTGCCTTGAACCACCCGCAGTGAAGGGGGTCGGGGCTAATATACATAGCGGCGAATACCGTAGCCAGCAGCAACAAAATGTCCGGATCTAGCTTTGCGCAGCCGCATTTGAGTTAAAAACCTAAATGCCGCACCATTGTAGTTTGGCCAATGCGGCACATGTGAACAACATAGCCTGCCAACGCACAGCAAGGAATTTGGCGTGTCTGCCATATATGCAGCACTTCAGGTCGGGACCCGTACAGCAGCAGGCCGGAAGGCTCGACTCGGGCTCTACTTTAGGCCTTAAACGTCTTGGATATGGAGAAAACATACAACTTCGCCCACCACGTCACGCCGCATCGAACACTCGGTCATGCCGGTCATGCCGCGGGTGCACTGCGATGACCGTACTCTCACAACACCACACAAAAAAAGGCCACGCGTAGCAAATACCGCGTGGAGGCTACGCTCAAACTCCCATCATCATTCGTACAACGCTATCTGAAAACCATGCCCGCGAGACGAATCCTCAAAAGTGATCGGTGATGTACCGCTGCTGCTGCCTCTGTTCATCGGGTATCGTATCATATAATACCATCAAGAAGAGCAGAGCAGGTTGTTTGGTGACTGCTGTTTCAGTTTCGAGAAAAGTTCTGGCTTGTCGCATGGTCGCGGCGGCGATAAGCACCCCGGCCGGGTTGTACATGTGCTCCGTTGTTGTGCGCCAGCAGGAGCCGCCCTTTGTCATATTTCTGTGCCTTGGCGACGCCTAGTCTGTACCACAGGGGGTGTGGTGTGGGAGAGCGCTTGCGATGCATCGGGCGAGAGGTTTCGGAAACGAGATTGGGAACCTGGTCTGTTCAAGTTGGTAAAACAGGGAGAGGGGCCAATTAGACTTGTGTGACCGACTCCAGGCCCTCTCTGCCATTTCTACAGCCTTCCATACCTCTCCGACCCGCCTCCCTCGCTTGGAACCGCCCCCTGAAGAGCGTCGCTGGTCCCTGCCATCGCCCACCTCGAGCTCTTCGTTCATTGCTCGCGCTGCTCCACACCGTTGGTACGAACTCTATCGTATCTCGCTCTCCGTGTGCGTCTCTCTCAGCTCGCTCTCTTTCTTATCCACCCCCCGCCCGCCCGCCTGCCCCCTCTCTCCGCCTACTGCCCAGTCTGTGCGCGTTTGCTTGGCTGATGATGAGGCACAGCCGTGGCTAATCTATTCTGTCCTCGCCGATGCTTCTTGGATGCTTGGATGACCCGATGTGAACCAGGACTAATGCCCGATTGCTGACGTTGCCCCCGACCCGTCCGCGGTCCGCGATAATCTTGTACCTCCTCCTTCCCCCCGCCGCACCGACCACTCTGAAAACTACTTGCTTTTAGACTAGGCAGCTGCCGGGAGTTGAACAAGACTATTCGGATACACAGAAAGACTTCAATACAGCAGTATTCAAAATAGAGGGTGATTTTTTTTTTTTTGCCCAACCTATTTCCTGACGGGTTGTAGCGTAGAGCAGAGAATCTATATAGATGTCTGCATCGCCTACCTGCTGTAGATACAGGCTATTAGGGATTCGTCGCTGGAAGGAGTGGAGGGGAGAGCAGGCCGAGGTTTTCAACCCAGCAAGGGGTGCCTGTATTTGGACCTAGCGCGCCCAGTGTGGGGCTAATCGGAAGAGAGCAACTACAAATTGAGGACAGAGAGGTAGGAGATCGGGTACACACGTACCTACAGCAGCGAGACATCTTGTGTGTGTGCAATCATACAATCATGTGTTGTACTTGTTGTTGTGTGCAACAACATAGGCCCCTCGTTTTGTGTTGGTTGCTTTTCCAGGAGATTATCCCTATTCATCTCTTTGCCTCTCCCCCGACTTCTCCTGCGATTTCTCCTCCCTTTGCCTCCTGCTCCCCTACCGTCCTGGCTTGTCCTGCAGGCAATTTGTAGGAAAGAATAATCCTGCCGGTTCAGTTGTTGGAACGAACCGCCTGCTGTATGGATGCAGAATGATGCATATGTGCAACGTAGGTGTTATCTCTCTGAGTTGGCCGCTACTCTGCTGTGGCACGTTTGCGCTAGGCTCGACTGTGCCTTTAGCTGCAAGTCCCCAAGCAGAGGACGCACTACGTGCGCGTTTAGCGGACAGCAATGATTGAATACTTCGTACCATTTGGTAGATGCAAACATGCAGCAAAACAGTCACAGGGAGAGCGTGACATTTTTCATTTTTCAGACTACGAGCTCTCGCGCGAACTCTGCTGCGTGTTGCGTGGGAACGCGCGTTCGCCACCCATGCAAAGCATTTATCCCTTGCGTCCATAAATTCTTTGTCATAGATGCCTATGCATCCGAATTTGTACAGGCAGTATCCATATGCACGGTATCAACTTGAAAGCTGACAATGTGCACGCTGCCAACATTAAATACTATAATAACAAAAGAGTGTGGCTGCGTACGTACAACAGCAGTCAGTTCGGAACGCCGGCTCGAGTCTAGAGTTGTCTTTGTGCAC